AGCGAAACGTCGGTCTCATCGTCAACTATCCCAAAATAGTGATTCGTTCAAGAACGACTTTACACGTGAACTTTACCCTTGACAATGATTTAAACATGTGCTGCAGAGGTTTTAGAATCCTTAATGATTATGACATCATATTATTGCGAAGAGTTTTGATAGCACAAATATTATGCGAAAAGAAATGAATGTAGTCTGATAACCCCTCGATGTTTAAAAAACAGCCATGACAAAGTAAAATGCATCTGTCAGGGTTCCTCAGCATTTCGTTCTTTAGTCTAGTCGTTCGGGTGGGACAAAAAAACAGATCCCGTGTACACATTGGCGCGCACGTAAAAGAACCCTTGACAGTTTGAATTCGAAATAAGAGTAGGTCGTAGCGCTACCGTCAGAGCAAATTTCTCCCCATATAGCACACGGTGTGGCGTATGCCCGTCTTCATTAGCCCAAAGTAAATACATCTGTCAGGGGCCCTTAGCATTCCGGTGTTTTTTTTTTTGGGGGGGGGGGGGTAGTTTTAATGCCTTGTTTTCATTAATATAATTTATAACCGCAGATTTATTTCAATGGATGCCGTGTTGTCTATTTTTATAATTTTCTGTAAAACTTGGGTTTATGTATCTCGTACATATTACCACAAGGCAGTAGACATGTTTTCATATATTTTACCCTCCGGCTTGTATTTACTAACTAACGTTACTTCTTTTATTTGATGGATTGGTTTTTGAACGTCTTTCATGCTTTTCTGATAAGTTATATATAATTAACGCCATTTTGCTCAATAATTCCTTCTTTTTTTGTAGTTCTTCCCTAATGCTAAATAAATGTAGTTTTTAGGTCTTTCTGACATTTACACAAAAGTACTTATTTTCTTAAGTTATCCAACAATAACACAAAGTATATCCCCAGGAATTAATACACAATTAAATTAAGAAATACAGCAGCTTTAATGTCGGACTTTTCAATAAAACTGCCACAAGTTTAGAATGCTTAGAAGTAACTGTCACTTAATTGTTAAAGGAGAATGCTATAGTAAACGTTTAATTTTATCGTTTACTTAGTTCATTGTGTAACGCATTTCAGAATTAATTTTTTTTTAAAAGTTTTAGTAACAAATAGGCCTAACGTTAAAAACACTTTCGGATTACCGCAATTACGGAAACACCCGACAATTAATGAGCTGAAGCTTAATCACGTGACATGACGTAAGACGCGACCCTCGTGTAGCAGTCGATGTACATATTTCAATCTGGCATCGACAGAAAGTGGCAGCTTGTCAGACATTGATTTCTCCCGAATGTTCCTCCCTATCAGTACGAGCCAATTAGAAATGCTAGAAAGAACGGTGACGATGATGGTTCGGAACATTCTACCATTTCTAGCGAAGAACAATCGCTGCAGGCTGTGTTCGGATTAGGTCAGCAGTACTCATATCACAGTCCTTCGATTCTCGATAACTTTTCATTTATTGATGTTCACGCTTCATCGGCGGAAATATATCAGAGAAAAACTATTAATTCCAATAAGTTTACACTAGCACCCTAGCCGTAGGGTAATATACGGTATTATATGCCCTACTTTCTTTGTGCAACAATTGAAAAACGAGGGTCACGACTCGTTGACATCGCTATGTCCAACCAGACCTTTCTGCGTGTTGTTTCGCTTGGAAATTTAAAAAATGACACGTGTCTCGTGATTTATTGCTGGTGCTATTGTACATCATCAAACAACGCAAATGACCATGTGTATGCTTTCAGTAAATCAAAATACGGAAAAAATCAAAACGAGGCTTCAGATATGCAAAAATGTCTATTCGTGTTTTTTGGTATATTTTTCTTGTGTAAAAATATTCAAAATGACTTTTAAAATTGCGCAGGGCCAAAAATATTCAAATATTAACGTTATTTTTCATACCATATTCCTCTTTATAATAATGTATTCTATTAGCATGAATTACATATTTTTGTTTAAAAAAAATTGTAAATAGCTGTTGTCTGCAATGTGTGCCCCTCTCTTACTGATGTAGTTTTGTTTGTTTAATTGGCGTCCATGTACTTAGGCCCGTAACTGGGGGGAGGGGGGTGGTTGTGAAAAAATTGTCGATCATAAAAATAATAGATATACATTGTCCGTCAATTTTACAGCACCCCTGAGAACACTTCCCGCCCCCTCGTTGCTTTGAGCTAGTTACGGCCCTGCATGTACTCGTCTGACTTTTACCCGGATGTTTCTGTCACTAGTGCACTTGTCTCACTTTTGCCCAGAAGTTTCTCTCACTGGTGCCCCTGTGCTTGTCTCCGTGGTGTTCGCGTGTGTATCGATGTATTTGTCTGAGTGGAGTCCGTGAGTTTGTCTCAATGCTGCTTGTTTCACTATATGTGGGCCTGTGAGACTGTGTATGTGTGTGACGGGGTGTTATAGGTATCACATGTTTGTCTGTCTTGTGTTTGGGCGTACATGCCTTACTGGAGTCCCTGTGTGTCCGTGTGGTCTCACAAATCCTGTTCGTGTGCTGTATCGCTGGTGACGAAGGTCGACTGAAATATCCGTAATTTAATCCACGCTCTTTAAACTAACTTGATAATATTTTACTAAGTAATAGTTTGAAGCTGAGTTTCGAATTTTGTAGGAAAGACCGCATTGAAAAATATCCGCACTTTAGTATTTCATGACAATAATGTGTTTGGTCATTACGGATTCATATCATAAATTTATTCTGTCATATAAATGGCCCGGTTGTTTCAATTTTATCACCTGTTTTGTGGACATTGAATAGATGTTTAGTAGAATGCATGTTTTATTATTGGTATTAAAGTCAGAATTGAGGACTATTTTATTATACTTTCCATAAAATAAACTTATTATCAATAATTCCTTCATAGAACTCGTGCTATTCTATGCATGATAATAAAACTCTCCTTGTAACCCTCAATGACCCATATAAAAATAAAATACTGCCCCAAATATCTATTAAAGGCTAGGATTACACATAGTAATAATAATATATGACATTTCCAAAACCCTTTCACGTTATTTTTCTTGTTTGTTTAAACTTTATGAGGAAGTGTTGTCTAGTTTTCGAATTATCAAGTCCGTGTCGGTATTGTGTTTATTCTGAAATCAGAGACACGCGAGGTACGGAGAAATACAGCTAGTATATATAGCTATCATTTAGTTTTCGAGTGATAGTTTCGTACGACACTACAGTTGAAGTTTCAGTTTTACAAATTAGATTGTATTCAAAATCTGAAATAGATGGGACTATCCATCCCTGGGATATAAATATACGTTCTGATTCTGAACTTACAAAGAGTCGCCAGTGCTCGAATTTTCTATATTACTGATTGCAATACTAAGATTTTATTATAATCCTTGTGTATCATTTAGCGATTGAGTACAATAAAAAAAAACACACAGTGTATTTGGAATACAATCACTGGTTTAAGGTTATTTTACTTGTAATATTATTCAAAATTATTTACATTTATTTTCTTTGTGAAAGTGAATTGCCTCTTTGACTAAAAATAAAAATTCCCCAGGATGTGGATAATAAAGTGTCTTTTGACCTGAAGGGTTTTGGATCATAAAGTATCTTTTGACCTGGAGGGGTATGGATCATAAAAACTATTTTGACCTGGAGAGTAGGATAACGGAGTCGGGGGGGGGGGGGGCGGGGTGTAGACACCATATTGCACCAAGCAGCTGTATAAAACAAAAAATACCATATTGTCTACTAAAGCTTTCATCGTTATCATTTCTAGACTAATTTTACTGATTTTCTTGATAAAGATGATGAGTAAATGACACGGTCAATTTAACATGAGAACGCACCAGTCATGAACTTGTTTATCTGTTATGACATAAATTTAACCTCAAGCTATTAAAGTCAACCTATTGTAGTTGATAAAGGTTAGTTGTTGACATGTTAGTCTATAGATAGATGAGTGCACAAGCTTAGTTCTGTAATTAAATCCTACAATATATTCCAAAATATACGGCAATTATAGACTTCCAGGCCATATACAATAACTAGTAAAGTCTTATAACAAATAGCATATTGGTCCTATAGCCTCACGAGAGAGAGAGATAGAGAGGGGGGGAGAGAGAGAGGGAGTTTAACGTCCACTCGACACAAACTAGGTCATTCCGGGACTAACGCATTGTTTGATTTTATTTCAACAATTCGCTTGTGCGTACTGGTCTTTAGCAAGCAAGTAATGGAAATTATAGCACGTGGAACTATGTTTTGCATGTCAAGCATATAATGAGATACATTTCTAGGTAAGTTAATTAGTTAAAATCTTTTAACTAGTTAAATTAAAGTGAAAGTTTTAACAAGGAAGTCTAGCTCTTTGTGAGTTCAGTACGGTTATTTTCAACTTATGGACTCGTATACGAACAGAGACGAACAGCTTTATGTAAAGAAACGGCATCTGCAATCGTTTTCTTGCATGAAAACAGTAAAGATGATTACTAATATTAGACACTTCTATAGTGTCATGTTGGATAAACTTATATAGACGGTTATATGAACATGGATATCTTTATTTTGTAGACGTATTTGCTATGTGTTTTTGTCAATGGTAATTTTAACTTTTTAGCTTTTTTAAACTAGTTAATTTGTTAATTTTTAACTAGTTAAGCCAAAATTCTAGCAACTTGAGCAGATTGGGAGAGGTTTGGCGATCCGTTCATGGTGAGGCCGGAGACTTGTGGGACACCCCTCGTTTACACCGCTATCATTTCTATCCACGAACATCGTGACCGCTATATTATCTAATTTACGTTTTTTGTCTTATTTGTCAAAATTATTTTATGAAAATCACCATTTATATCTATTTGTTAAATATAAACAAGGAAAATATTTATTGGCGTTCTTCCTCATTGCGTCTTTACTATAATATGTAATTATCTTTAATGTGTGATAAGTGAGACGATGAACGTCATTCAAACTAAACCTTTGATCTAAATGATCAGTACCCATTTATATACTAGAGAATTTATATGCTCCGATTGTGGGTTGTGTCTGGATGTGAAGAAATTGTGTTGTGATAAGAATACAAGAAGTATAGAGAGTGTCCTCGAGGTAGTTGTTCTTTAATGCTCATTCTATCGTACATAGTCCTTTGATACAGAAGTTTTTACATTACTATTTTCTCTAATGCAAATCGCTTGTTGGATCAAGGGACACTGGGCTACTGGCCTGTCGTACCCGTGTTTGTTATTGGCTTCGGACGGACCCAAATTGTTGGATGGGTTATTTCATTTCAGTAGCTTAATGGTTTCATTTTTGAAGCAACAACTTGCGGATCTCTTAACCACTATACCTTAATTATGTAATGTAAAGTGTGTTTTAAACGACATTTTTTTTATATTTACACTGCCCTGACATGACCCCAAAGATATACCAATAGGGGTAACGTTATTGTTCAAATATTACCCCTCCAGTATCCGGGTGCGTTTTCAGACACGTGGAAATAACCCAGTACGCAGTGACGGCGCCAGCCGTCGGTGATTGGAGGGGCAAAGCTGGTGCAAAGTCCAAGGTTAAGGGGGCAAAGGCACGAGCTTCAACTAGGGGTAGGGGGGCCTCCCCCAGAAAATTTTGAAAAACAGGTTGCCGGAAATGCATCCTGGCAGTATTTCAGGCACTGATCGATGAGGTAAAGTGTCAAACGAACGGACTTGCGAATCACGACGAAGGCCACTCACGAGCGTCAAAGTAGGGAGTCCTCTCCCAGAAAATTTTGAAAAATAGACTGCCGGAAATGTTGTCTTACAGTATTCCCAGACACCGATCGTCGAGATAAATAGATCTGACCAGATACCGTCCGTCGCCTGATCACTAGTTTATCCGACTAGAGAACAAAATGTCAAACGAGTGGACATGCGAACCTCAACGAATTCCCCTTGTGAACGCCAAAGTGGCGAGTCCATTGGGGACCTCGCCAAGAAAATTTTGAAAAATAGACTGTCGGAAATGCTCTACAACATGCAAGTTTATGACTGAGTGGGGATGTGGGATTTATTCACCGTAGAAGGTATTGATTACCGAAACGTATCACAAATACTTTTTTTTATTTTCTAAAATTATTGGGGGGGGGGGGGCAAACAGAGGGCAGACCCCCCCCCCCCTGGCACCGCCACTGCCAGTACGCCTTAGTATGTGTCCAAGGCGCGTCATGTCATTAGAGAGTTGAAATGATTCTTGAATGACACTGTGGATATAGATTCATTTCTGTCAAACCTTGTATCGCTCACAAGTAAATTAAAAATCAAGACTGGCACATATATACCGAGACTGGTGTAATAAAACCTTTTCATTTTATTTTGAAGATAATTGCATAATGTGTCTATGTTTTGTTCTTGACCTAGTCACAGGGAAGTTCACAATAGTAAATTTGAACTTTGAGATTCCGACTGTGTAAAATCTGAATCTGTTCGTGACAATGAAAAAAATTGAATGAAATGAGCATAATGATAAAAACCTTATGATTTTTTTGGGCGTAGCTGGTTAAAAGCAAAAAGGAATAAATCGGTATGCTATATCATTTCCATAATGTCAAGATTTACGACACACTTATAAGGCTGTGTTAAATATTTTGAATATAAAAGATGTATTGAGAAGATACATTGAGAGACAATCTCGATCCAAGAGATAACTTTACCCTTCGTTTATCTCTGGTAAAACTTGCCGGCCATTAATCAGCGTAAATTCGGTTGTTTGCCCCCCCCCCCCTCCACCCCGTGGCTACTGATTAGCAGGATTTGTTAGAATGAAATGTTGCTGATTTCAAAATGGCAGGCGAGTTTTACCAGGGATAAATTGGGATCGAGAGATAGTGGTTGCTTTGGAAGTACAACCTTGAACGGAAATATAACTCAGTCAAACGCGCAGAGAATTACCAAAAAGGTTAATCGGGAAAACGTGTTCTAAATTAACGATCCGATAATTTGGAAATTCCTTAGGAATCTTCCTGTACCGAACAATACCACCCAGTTTTGGAATATTACAAAAAGAACTTTGTCACGATTCATACAGTTTGGATGTCAACAGTGTTCTTCTTTCTTCTTAATACGACGAAATTTGACTGACGTTTCGTTCAAAGAGTGCGTGGGAAACCGACGTAATTTATAATCTTCATTTGATGTATTTTTAATACTCTGCTAACTACGGTATTGTAAAAGCTGACAAAATTGTTTAATTCCATTGGGTATTTACATGATTATATGATGAACTAAAAATGGGCAACCGCTGTGAGTAATATGAGCTGGATATACTCAAACAAGCCAGTACCACCTATAATCTTCTTTAAAATATTTTTAATTGATTGAATCGTATCCAAGATTATCTACCGTTGATATTTTGATTTTATTTTCTTAATTGTATGTTAAATAATGATTTTGAATATATTTTAACGTGGATTAAGCCGTGAAAAATTAGATATTGTCGGAAAGATGCAAACGCTGATATGCGTCTTTAAACGAATTCATATGCAGGGATATGTTATTTGTCTCAACACTCTAAGCATTGTTGAATAATTTATACAGATTTTCTTTTTAATCGTGTTTGGTACATATTTTATTGCTTTGATATATGCATGTATTTAGGAAATCAGGTCATAAATAGTATAAAGGGATGAATTAACATAAATATATTCAAGTGCATTGTTGTGCCACATATTGACAGCGGGTCGGTTTGTGATTCCAGTGAAATAAATTCCAACTGCCCTGGACTATTTTACGTGCACGCCAATGTGTACACGGGACATTGGTGTTTCGTCCCATCCGAACGATTTGATGTCCTTGACAGGGCCCCCGTACTGCAACTCTGACAAGGTGATACCACGCCGGAAACCCCGAGGAACTATCTTATTAATGAGCCAACGCCTTTATGACACCATGGCTTTCGATATTCAACAACCCCAACAGATTATAAATACATGTATAAACGTTTAGTTATCGCGTTTATTTGTGTTTCAACCCTATACGCAGTCCAGGTTTTAGACTATCTAGTGTTAATTTTTAGGTGTCATCGACTGTCATTACTTGAAGCACCGATCTCACGTAATATTGTATAACATATCCTACTCTTTTATTAAGAATTTCAATTGTATGGCTTTATCATGGTCTGTATCCGTATAGATCTTCTGAAACTAACCTTTCCGACTTGTGAGCAGGACTGATTTGTTTTATTAGACTTACTGGGTATGTACATGTACATTTTACTTGCAAATGGTGCCAAGGCTGTTAAAATGCAACTTGTGTCCTGGCCAAATTCCCTCGCATCGCTAAAGCTACTTTTTGTTAATATTTTGTCTGTAAGTATTCTTCGGGTTGCAATTAATAACAGGTTGTGTTCAAATTCTGCATGATCAATCATTTCAATAACATTTTGTCTATGAACACCCTATAACAGAGAGAGAGAGAGGGGGGGGGGGGAGAGAAAGAAATGGGATTTAACGTCCACTCGACACAAACTAGGTCATTTCGGGACTAACATATGATTTAATTTTATTTACATAATTCGCTTGCGCGTAGGGGTCTTTAGCAGTGGGAGGAAGCCGGAGGACCCGGAGAAAACCCACGAGGTTGGACAGGCGACCCTACTCCTTGTCAAGTACAGCCGGGGATTCGAAACCACGCCAGTCGACTCAATGACAGACTTTATGATACATGCTAACCATTCAGCCCAATTTCCGATTTCAATGCAAAGTCAGTGATAATAATCATACTGACAAAGGCTGAAAAGAGTTACGGACGCAATCCAGGATCTGTAAATATAATAAATTTTGTCGACACTACTCGACACTTTGGGGATTAAAGAGAAAAAAAAGATCGGTAGAGGTGAAATAACTTGATTCTGAAATATTTTGTTATATAATTTATACAGTTTCTCAAAGCAGTCATGGCGGCGTCAGTACTAGCTGGGACACGTAGTAAAGGCGATGACATGTTAGAAACAGCAGAGGATCTACTCGAAAGTTTTGAACAGGCTTCAGATCTGCTTTCTGAAATAGAAGAAAATTACATTGTAAGTATTTATAGAATGCTAGTTGATCGCATTACGGTGTTCAAAGTGACCAAACTGGGAGTATTGCGAAAGATTTATTGGCACATATACTGATATTCGAACATATTTCCAAGTCAATAGTTAATTATTTAGGATATTGTCTCTTATCTTAAAAAATATATCTTTAAATATAAACAATAAAGCTTTAAATGATAAATATAAAAAATATACGTAGAAAAACAAACCGACTTCCATTTAATCTATGTTGAAAGCTTATATAGTTCTCCTCATGAACAACAGAAACAGTACATCAGATCAACCCAAATTCCACAATTTAATTTGGCCTAAAACAAAGAGACCCAATTGTTATTTATTGGAGTTATGGTTGTTCTGGATATCCTTATTCTAATATTTTTATTAGAGGACCCGTGTGTTGGTCGAGAAAGTTCAACGTGGTTCACCATGGCCAGTGGTGCTGGACGGAGGGCCTGGCAAATAGCCGTGGTCCCGTGTACACATTGTCGTGTACGTAAGAGAATCCTTGATAGTTGGAATTTGAAATAAGAGTATAGAGCGTATCGTCGCTGTCCGGACAAAATGTACCTCAGCACATTTCATTGCGTATGCAGGTATTCATTAGCCCAGTCGGTGCAGACGTTAAACCACATTTGATGTCTCTTGATATGCCTCTTTTTATTCCATAGAATGATTCTGAAGGTGGGGAGGACGACAAGAAAAAGCAGACATTCCAACAATTCCGCGAAGGCCTAGATACAGCAAGGACACTCTTCAGCACACTGAAACGGGAAAAATGGCGTCTGAGCAAAAGAGAAATGAGTGTTGAATTAAGAATGGGTGAATTAGAAGACTACAAATCACATTTAAAGAAGGATATGGTGAGGATATAATTGTTATTTTTAGGGGGTCGCCCACTGGCTGGTGCCGATGTAGAAAAATATTTTTCGAATTTTTAAGCTCGGTTTCCACATGCTTGGGTTATGTCTTATGGTGTGCCCCTTTTCCCATAAGCATCATTATGGTCGTTTAAAAATAAAAATGACAAATAATTATTGCTTCCCCAGATTTCATGATATTATGTACGTCCATATACATGTACAGTATCTCTTTTTTTTACTTCATTTAGCATGGCATGTTTTAGTTGAATTTTTGGTCTAGACTGTCTATGTATTACGGTTAGGGTTAGTATTCCCCAAAATTCTCAGTGTATACAAAGCGGCCATTCCGAACCTCCTGAACCGGCCTACAATTAGCATCTCCCGAACCTTTCTCCTCAGACTGGATAGCGTTTGCATTACGAACGTTTAACCGCTCCTTACTGATACACTGTTAGAAAAAATCTGGTAAATTTACATGAAAATTACTGGCAGCAAAAGTTGCCAGTAAATTTACTGTAAATAAACATTCAGCTGTAATATTACAGAGTTTCTGTAATTTGACTTTGTGAGTAAATTTACCTTAAAACAGTAAATGGAAAATAACATGAGTTTGTTTTTTAACTTTGGACTGTAAATTCACCGCAACAAAGTAAATGAACGGTTACAGTAAGTTTGTTTTTAGACTTCCCAATGTAAATTTACCTAAAAGCAGTAAATGAAAAATTACAGACAAATGTTAGAAAAAACACAATGATTTTAACTTCCGTTCCAGGATTTTAGATGAAAGCTTGTGGTACTGTCTACTGCAGGCATTGTAACTCTGCTCTAGAGACAGTCAAGCTAACACTGGCCAATCGGTTTAATTAACCGTCTTCAATTGACCTTGGTTACGAGATAATACAATCTATGACAAGAAAGCAAAACATTTTTTTTATACGTTAATGAACATACTTACAATCTGATCAACGTACGATGAATAATAATACACGTTTTGGATCGTATAAATAAAGAAAATTAAATATATATAACATGCAATATACCAAATTTCACAAAATGTGATTGTCCATATTATGGTTAATAAATTAGAATGAATACTATAAGAAAATAATTATTAGGAATGGTTCGTTGTTATGGAATACTAAAATAAAATAAGAGACAGTAAATTTACATAAGAGACAGTAAATTTACCAATAAGTAAACTTACAAAATAATGTGAATAAACGTAAATCTGTAAAATTACCTACTGGCTTTGCTATTTTCATTTCAATATTGAAATATTACGCGTGTATTTTTACCGGGGTTTAATGTGCCTTTGGTTTCATCAAAGTTTATTGTAAAAAATAATGAAACTTGGTAAATATACATCATTTTGGTAAACATTCCGAACATTTTTGGTAAAAATTTAATTGCTGTAAATTTACTTATATTTCTAACCTGAAAGTTTACAAAATAATGTGAGTAAACGTAAAATCTGTAAAATTGCATGCTAAGAGACAATAAATTTACCGAATACGATAACTACCAATAAGTTAAACATACATTATGCAAGAGCTAAATCTGCCTATTGCAGGTCTTTCTTTAGGCCTGATATGTTCTATAAACTATGAATTAGACATTTATTAACATGAAAAGACCATAATCAACTCATGGATGCCATCTTATGTGTTGGATTTTCACTGGATTTGAGTCCGATCTGGGGCTCAACGCTCATTAATGATTAAATTCAAAAATAGATAATCAAGACTATGTTTTTTGTATCGTACTGACTTAATAAGTAATGATGATCGAGGCTAGGCCTAACATTCAGTCTCTAATATCTCGGTTCCGAGGGGATCAATTTAACAGAAATTTTCAGCATATTCCCATTACATTATCTAGTTTTTAACTATTATAGTGAGAACTGCTGTAATTTTATTTATATTTCTAACCTAAAAGTAAATTTACAAAATAATGTGAATAAACGTAAGATCTGTAAAATTACATGCAAGCTTGTTTATTTTGAGTTCAGTTTGGAAATATTACATATGTAAGAATGTATTTTTACTGATTTTGAATGTGTCTTTGATTTCATCACCGTCTATTGTAAAAAAAGACACGAAACTCTATAAACGTACACGAAACTCCGTTAAAATACGCCAGACTTGGTAAAACTACTACATTGTGGTGAACATACCGATATATAAGGTACAAAAACTACTTGTACTACTGTAATTTTACAAAAATTTCTAACAGTGTAACCGTTCCGAGACCACCTCACTTTACTGGTCCAAACTGGAACGGTTCTCCGTACGGAACGCTTAAGTTTAACCCGTTTACACTACAAAAAAAGTAACGGTTCCGTTCTCTGAACCGTTTTGTCACGCTTAAAATTTATAATGTAAATAGGGCTATATAGACAAGGAAATGCATGGATTTAACATTGAGTCAATAATCCGTTTTAAAACCAGGAATATCAGGGTTACCTCCCCTATTATATAGCGAACGCTTTGGGCCGGTCATTTAACCTAATAACCAAGAAATATATCATAGTCGGAGAGTGTGAGTATAGCCTCCACCAGAGCCTTATATTATATCTATATATAAGGCTCTGAACTCCACCACCCAGGGGCGAATAAATTAGAATAAAGGTGAAAAATAGTAGGTAAGGATTCCAAAATAACCTTATAAGAACAGAGGAGGGGAAGAGCGGTATTTTCATATTGCGGCTATATAGGGCCCGATAGGAACTGTCAGTGGACATCGTCCGCTAAGAGACAGTTCCTAAAGGGCATCGTCCGCTAAGAGACGGTTCCTAAAGGAACTAGTGCTTTGAGTGCCCATCCTGTCCCAAATCTGACGATAAAGGATAAAGCACTCTCCCGAGAAACCTTTCTCATAAAAAGTGTTGATTTACCAAAAAAATTATGTAGCTTATTATTAGAATAAGCCATGTATTGTGTTCTAGACGACGGAACATGATGAGCTTTGTTTTTTTTTCTGCAAAAAAAACCCCATTAATTTATATTTTAGGTGAATTACTTTATTAGAATAAGCCATGTATTGTGTTCAAGACAACGGAACATGATGTAAACCGAACAAAACATATTTTGGTGCAAGATAGATTCAACCGTCCATTTTGAATACCTAGAAAGAGAGAATCGGCCGTCTTTTACTCCACGAAAATGAATAAAAGTGACGGAACAAAATTTGTGAAATTGACCTTCAAAGAATTTTTACATTAACTTCTAGTTATATGCTTTGGCAGTTCACCGTCCCAATTGGCACGGAAACCCGGTCGGCTGGGTTGGCATTCGACGATCAGTTTTTACGGGTGGTCGGCAAAAAGTATATTTTGCCAGCCCACATTTTTCGATAGATCTTTTTGATGTAGATAATTTTGTACATAGGTAACCGTCAGGTATATTCCCACAGTTTAAAATGACAGCAATTTCCAAAATATTTCCGCGCCCCCTGGAATTTAAAGTCTGTTTCAACCCACGCAAAATATGGTTCCCGTGACACTGACCGTCCCTGTATCGAGATAGCATTCAAGAGGTGGAGTGTTTATTTGGCATCTTTATTCAAAATGTCTCGTAATAGTTTGCTTACATTTTATATCCAGTATTACTGGCCACATATTTTTATTTTAAACAATATTTTATTCAGAAATTGAAAGGAGTTGAGGAACAGGCCATATACGACCTCTCTCCACATATTCAAGGTATTCAAGTCTTATTTTAATCTTATTTCAGTCCAGTCTAAATGAAACAGTAGACATTCTGAGTGTAAGGATTATTCAACTGGAAAATTCATTAGCTGAGTGTCAAGATACTATAGAAAGACTTGAAGCAGACGTCAATTATTATAAGGAACAGTTGACGAATAGTCAGAAACACGCTAAAAGTAAGTAAATCGTATTCCTTGTATGGTTGACTGACTTCGTCAGGACTTGGCCCACCGTATGGCTAGTGAATCTAGGAATGGACAGTCTGCACTGTCTGCTAAGACATGTTAGGATAAGAATTTGATTCTGAAACTGCTCCATGTATTTTCCCCATTCATTAGATGATGACATACTGGAAGAAATAAACGCCCCGGCCTCAAGCACGATACTCCCCCACCCCCTTCAGCACACCACCACATATCTGCTTTAATCACTTGATGTCCTATTAAATTGAACAAACGTTAAATGCTCTAAGAAAAACATCCTCTTAAATTATGTACGGTCTCAATAAATTAATCATGTCCAAATAGTATAATGTACATGTTCGTGCAGGGATATAAGATTATTTGTATCTTTTCAATCAATAATCTTTTGATCAACTAAATAAAGTCCTATTAATAATTTTAAAATTTTTCCAGACGTTGCTAAATCAAACGAGAAACTCAATTCCGAACTACAAAATCTAAAAGCAACGCAGAGTATCGAACTTTTGGGCAAGAAGCTCAAGTCCCTGGAGATGGCGAACAGTATTCTTCAAGAAGAGAACGGCAACCTGAAAACTATCATCAGAACTCAAGAGTCAAATATGGCCAATTAAAATTTTGATTATTGGCTAACCAAGGACATTGTATAAAGTGTTAAAAAAATGTTACGGGCAAGGGATGTACGTACATATTCGTAAATAAACTGTGGGGTTTTATCTTCAATCGACCAGTATATCCCACGGTTACATTTTTAACGAGTAATCTATGATATATTTGTGAGTTCGACCAATCAGCCGACTGGACTTTGTCAACAATAAAGATTAAAGTTTATGATGAAATAATTTGCCAAATTTGAGTTTACATCAAATATTTTGATTGCTTTTAATTTAACTAAATTGTCGTTGTAATTTATATTTTTCCTGTTGAGAATCTGAAAATATATTATTTCTTTATATCCTTTCAGTTTGGGTAATTAGTTTTGAGGGGTTGGACTCTAAACATGTTTAACTCAGCAGAAATTTTCCTTTATAACTTTCCCCAAGATCATGATGTGCCCAGAGATCGATAACAGCGAAACATATTTGATTGTGAAACTTATTTTCCTTATCAACGTTAAAATGCTACGGCCGAGGCATGTACGATTATACACGCCACCATTCTTTACAATATTGGAATAACCATAAATCTATTATTTATATCTCCATACTAAATTACCATGAATAATCGATTAGCAAAAAGATAAAGCAGTGATCAATAAATACATATATATATATATATATATATATATATATATATATATATATATATATATATTGAAGTAAATGAAGTACAAGTACTTCTTTGTTTACGGTAGATAAATGCATAAATAAAATAAAAAAATCCGTCCAGATAAAAAATTCTCCACTTTACTTCATTCTGACACTGACATACATTAAATCATATAAGCTAGCTGTCTGCCTTCTATGGGCGTCTTCAGATATTAATAATGTATACAAAATATTACAAGTACGATACATATATAAACTTCCATTACTTCAACATACCAAGTTTGACATTTCTTGTAAGTATATAACCGACTACATACTGGATAATGATCCAATTTAAATTTTATTTTAGATTTTCTGTAGTTACCTAACCCTTTCTGAATTACCTCCCTTAATGTTATGCCTTACATAGTACGATTTCTTCAACATACCTGTTTTGCATTTCTTGTGTTTGGTTAAATTAATATATAATATATTGTACAGTTACATAACTTAATAATTCCGATTAGTCGCTAAGACTTGTGGTTTTTTAAGCTTTTAACGTTATTTTATCTGGATTATCGCCCTTATTATTGTGATTTTTATCACCATCTAAGATATGACGTCATGCTCAGTCAGCAGACGGCTGTCCCTCGAGACAGTCTACTTTTCTCTTTTGCTTCTTTCTATTCAGTTTTGTTTTTGTTTTTGTGACGATGGAATGTGTACCCTATATGTATTGAATTTAGAGTTTAGACTACTTTTTTATACATTTCACCGAAGTGGTTACTTGTAAAGTTATATTTTACTACATATGCTTACATTCGCATTTCGTGTAGCATATAACAGATCATGACTCCTGCTGGCATTACACTTTGGGTTGTATTCCTAATTGTTTTCAAATTTGAGTGAAGTCTGTGTCACTACAGACCCGGGACTGTACAGCGCAGTGGACGCTTACGGCTAGCCCCCGGATCCATTCACTTTTTTTGAATTGTCATTATGTTTGTGTTTTCCTGAGTATGATGTCCTGTCCGTGTATTTGTTTTTGTGTAAATTTTGTGTGGTGCAGTCCCCCTGCACTTACTATTAGAATAATAGATTTCTATGACAATGGATTATAAATAATATTAGATAACGTACAACAAAAGGTTTAAAAGTATATAATACATAACATGACATAAATTTACATAGTCTTCCTGCATAGTTTGACAATGGCCAATATAGGAACAATGAGATGAAATAAAGGTTCATACACCAATTATGTAATCTGGCTATAATAAAACTTAACCTTTCATTAATTTACATAATCTTCCTGGTATAATTTGACAATAGAACCATACAGAAGTAAAGAGATTAATTAAATGTCAATAGATCAATTAGGCTGTACATTTATTTATATCCATCTTATTCTCTATTAAACCGATTATAGAGAAATAAAGGGGGTGTTCCCACTTAGCCGGCAGGCTTTGATGTCAAATTTTGCCGCTAATCCAGAGTTAATCCTAGAACAATGGTGTTATAAACTATAGTCCATATCTTTTTTAAGACTAAAACTGTATTGATTTTAACAAATTTAACTTTTATTAAATAACATTAAATAGATTACACATATAAAAATATATTGATTTTAACAAATTTAATATTTATTAAATAACATTAAATGATTTACACATATAAAAATGCATTACAATTTACACATTTAACTTTTATTAAATAGCATTATATAATTTATGAATAAATGCCTTACAACATAACAATCATTTTACAGATCGACCATCTATTTATATTAATATAGTGAATTGAATTCATGTTTGAAATCATAACGCCGACATGAACTGTGTTCAAAATGTCATTAATTAGTTGGTTAATAAATTTTATGAAGAGGGATTAAGAGCTCATTAACGCTGAACACTAGTGAACAGTTTTTGAGTGACTACTTTTAAACAGACTAGTTTTAAGATCAATCAAAGGATTAACAGTCTGCCGGCTAAATGGGAATACACCAAATAAAGGTATACAGGGTTTTAAAATCCCCTTAAATAGTGTTGAAGTAAAACGTGTAAAAACATATATTAAGATTATATTTAAATATTATTAGAATATCCTTTCCGCGACGTGGATTATAACAACTTTTGTTGCGTACTAAATCCTCTTAATAATTTTAGGATTAAGTTTTTATTTTATGTTAACTCGACACAAACTAGGTCATTTCGGGACTAACATGGTTCATTTTTATTTCCATAATTCGCTTGCGCGTAGGGGTCTTTAGCAGTGGGAGGGAACCGGAGGACCCGGAGAAAACCCACGAGGTTGGACAGGCGACCCTACTCCTTGTCACGTACAACCGGTGAATCGAAACCACGCCAGTTGACTCAATGACATACTTTATGATACAGCACGCACGTGCTAACAATTCAGCCATCCCCCCCCCCCATAAATACATATAGTTTTACTTTTACTTTAGTACTGTAGGTGGCCGGAGTCGGGTGGTATTGGGTGGTCCAATTCGTGACGTTGAGTCAAGTCAGACGCTAAGTGAGAGTGACGCAATGATGAGCTTTGCGTCATGGTTTTGAAAATTTGCGCCCACTTGAGTTTTTGTGCCCGCTCGCAAATGGCAAAAAATCACGCGGTTTCAATGCGGTTTTCAACATTATAATCATAGTGCTTAACCTGTGTCAAACATATACTGTGGGTAAGATATGCTACAAATCGACTCTAGCATGTTCCACACAGTCCAATATTACTCGACTTCCATTTTTGAAATTAACATTAACAAGCCAACAGTGAGGCTGGTGCCCCCCGTCGAAATCCCAAAATAAATAGTTGACAGATTTTAATTTATTGCACATTTATTGTTTTCAAAAGTATCAAGCAATCAAACTGATTATCAACTATACACTAACTTTCATCACTCTCTATCAGATAGAATCAAAGTTATCTTGTCCTAAAGCATTGGCCAATGAAATTGCTTAGCTTTAGCTCGAAGTGTTAATCATTGAACTCAGTCAAGACATTCACCTAATGAACATCTACATCAAGTTTAAACATTCTACCTCAATTAAAAGCAGAGTTGTTATATTCCAAAGGCTTGACCAATCAAATTCTCACCATCGAACTTAGTCAAGGTAATGATATAATGAATCTATACTCGAAGTTTCATCACTCTCACTTAATTATAACCAAAGTTATCGTGCCCAAAAGCATCAACCAATCAGATTGCTTATCTCTGCTTACCGTAAGCAGACAATGTTTATCATCGAACTAGATCAAGGCATTCACCCAATGAACGCCTACGCCAAGTTTGAAAATTCTACCTCAATGAGAAGCAGGGTTACTGTGTTCCAAAGTCTCGGTCAATCAAATTGCTTACCCTGAGCAGATAGTCAAGTTATTGATGTAATGAAACTATACACCAAGTTTTATCACTCTCACTTAATTAGAACTAAAGTTACCGTGTCCCAAAGTATCAACCAATCAAATTTCTTATCTCTGCATACCCTAAGCAGAAAATGCTCATCTTCGAACTCCATCAAGGCATTGACCTAATAAATACCCACATTCTAGCTCAATTAGAAGGAGAGTTATTGTGTCCCAAAAAGTGTCCCGGACAGTCGGACAGACGGAAAAACAGACAGACAGACAGACGGACGAACCCATTTTAATAGTCCCCTGCTTTCTTCGAAAGGCGGGGGACAAAAACTTAAAGATACATTATGGGAGATTCGATAACGAGTTGGCAGTTCTCACTATAATAGTTAAAAACTAGATAATGTAAAGGCAATTTGCTGAAAATTTCATTCAAATTGATCCACTATGAACCGAAAACTAAGCGATTGAAATTTCCGGCTAGCCTTGATTATCTTTACTAAAGTCAGTACGATAAACAGCATAGTCTCGATTATCCAATTAATCGTTAAATCGTGAAGGAAAGTTATGCAGTAAATCGGCTCACAATCCACTAAAGATCGCAGACTAGCGATGCCATCTAGAGATGATTATGGTTTAGATAGGTTAATTAATGTCTAATTAATAGTTTAGATAACATTTCAGGCCTAAAGAAAGACCTGCACTAGGCAGATTTAGCTCTTGCATAATGCATGTTTACAAAATGATTTAGTCGGGACATGTTAGGTGAAATGTTGGCCTATATTCAATACACCACAGGGCTGATAGTAGTTAACTTTTTAACTACATGTATTTAATGTATAGCTGAGATTAACGCGTTAGTAGAAATGAATTAACGCGTTAACACTCCGTGGCGTCATATATGTATATTCGGCTGGAAAATCAGAACGCAGACCCATGAAGGAACCTAATTCGTGCAAAATATCACCCAGAGACAATATTGCCATAGTCACTTTACTGAGTCCGTCGGATCGAGTGTCTCCGGTCGAAATAATGTGGTTTCAGTCTCACACTTGAAATCAAGGATCAAGGTCGAAAGAAGCAAATTCGATTTGTTTTTAAGCGTTTTCCCGTCCAAATGCCATCTAAATTCTGGATTTAAAGTCCCGAATAAAAGTAATGATCAAGAATACGATTTTTTACTCTCTGAAATAGGTTGTGTACGAAAATGTCCATGTTTTATATGGCGGTATATTAGATTCAAACTGCTAACATGCTATCGTCTAATTTCTAACTTCTATTCATGTAATTTCTAAATTAAGACAATGTATAATCCAACTTCTTTATTTGTTCAGTGTAAATTTCAATTCTATTTCATCTTGTTTCTATCATTTAGACGAAAAATGTCTACTTATTGTAGCTTTACATGTTAATCATCAACGTCGAACAAATTTAGAATTTGAATACTTCTGCCTAGGGACCATTATGTTAATACAAACGACTAGCTCTTCGTCAGGTTGAATGGTTTGGCGTAGAGGTCTAGCAGTGGGAGGAAACCGGGGGACCTGGAGAAAACCCTCGAGGTTGGACAGGCGCCCTTACTCCTTGTCAGGTACAACCGTGGAATCGATGCTGAAATTGAAAACAACATCGGACGTGATATGGTTGGAAAATACTATTTTATAAGCTAAAAAACAATGTTTATTTTTTTATTTTTTGAAGACAAGTAGTGAAGGATTTGGAGAATTTTATTTGTTTTGTTTTTTACAGTTAAGCCAATATTATTATTTTTATACTGTTGGTCTGTATTCTATTACTGCTCTAACAAAAATGTCACTTTATTATGATAAACTTTTTCTTGAAATGGTTCAAAGATATAAATTTAGAAATCCCATATTGTGGGGATGGAATGGCCTTATTCTGTTCATGTGGATAGCGATGAAATTTTTTTTCTGATTCCTTCATTATACCGACCTGACTAACTTTATGGTAGGTTTTTTTTCAACAATATTTTATTCAAGTTGCATAAAGCGATACGGATTTTCATAGATAGCGGTGCTCGTGACGAAATTAAACCAAAATGAAATGGGGTTTATTGTCCTACTTTTCTAAACTAACTTGGCTAATGAAGACGGACTTATGACATACAGTGTGCCATGGGGGAAATTTAGCCCGGATAGCGGCGCCACGGTCTACTTTTATTACGAATTACAGATTTCAAGGCTTTTTTCCAGATCGGAACGACTAGAAACTGCCCCTGCCTACAATAACGACACTATCCGCAAATCACAGGGACGGAAGTAATAATGTCAGAAATATAAAGTTTAGTTTTTCCAGTGTGTATACTAGATTACGATGTTATATAACCCATAGATATATTTTTATGATATAACCGATATCGTCTGGCGTGGTTCTCCCTCCCTTGTTATTGATACAGGACGGGGGTCTGGCACGGACAGTGGTTAGTCGTTTGGATTGTATAAATACAGGATATTTGTTGTTTTAGAGTGAATAACATATTTTATTTCATCGAGAAGCAAGAAAACTTATATTTTCACGAATGCGTAGCATGAGTGAAAATATAAACGTTTTCTTGCTTAGAGATGAAATAAAATATGTTATTCACGACAAAACGACAAATGTTCTATTTATTTTATGATTTTACAATCATTTTAGGTAAAAACAACTAGCCAGTGGAATAACACTTTTATTTCACTGATAAAACGCGGTATTCCACTACTGATCATAAAATAAAGATTTTTTTAGAGCAGTAAAAGAATATCAATCTGATTAAAATATAGATCTATATTTCGTTTCGTTTTTTATACTTTCGATGGCCTACACTACATGAAGATCTGACAAGTTGTACTCGAAGGTTGTGTCAGGGGTCGTAAGAGCGGCTTTTGACCCTATGACGTCAACTCTTCCAATAAAGACAAGTATAACGAAATTTTGAACTATAAAAATCGAAACGAAATAGGATCTGTGTTTTAATCAGATTGAAGAATATAGACCAACAGTATATAAATATTAATTGACTTAACCGTAAAAAATAAAATCAAATAAAATTCTCCATATCCTGCTGTTTAGCTTATATTTGAAATAGTGTTTGCAAACCATAATATCAAGTTCCATATTGTTTCAATTTTAACACTCCGCCAAACCATTCAACCTGACGAAGAGCGAGTCGTTTGTATCAACATAAATATATGGTCCCGATCAGGTGCTCAATCGCCAAATTGAGCACACGGTGGCGACTCCAAACGACTTCATAAAGATGGTTGTTAGGTAGAAGTATCAAAATTCTAAATTTGTTCGACTTTGATGATTAACATGTAAAACAGCAATGAAGAAGACGTTTTTCGTCTAAATGATAGAAACAAGTTGAAATAGAATTAAAATTTACACTGAACAAATAAAGAAGATGGATTATAAAGTGTCTTAATTTAAAGGTTACATGTGTGACGCCCATGCTTGTCAGATTTAAGTGTATTGTAAATGCTCCATTGCCGACAAACGGAGAAATATGCGACAACTCTTGTAGAAGTATCAAAATTCTATATTTGTTCGACTTTGATGATTAACACGTAAAACAGCAATGAAGAAGACGTTTTTCGTCTAAATGATAGAAACAAGATGAAATAGAATTAAAATTTACACTGAACAAATAAAGAAGATGGATTATAAAGTGTCTTAATTTAAAAGTTACATGTGTGACGCCCATGCTTGTCAGATTTAAGTGTATTGTAAATGCTCCATTGCCGACAAACGGAGAAATATGCGACAACTCTTGTTGACTGCCCGGACGACATAGCTGCTGTGGGGGTATGTTTCGTTGCCTGAAAATCTATCTTTATAATATGTGAACATTTGCATGCTATGTTTTTGTTTTTAATTTTAATCATTAGCCTGTCATAAATGATGTTGATGCTTTTTATTTTCTTTGTAAAATGTTATGTGGATATTTGTATGCTGCCTCTTATGGGGTGTTTAGATACAATAAATCTATCTATCTATCTATCTATTCTGAGCCGAAATTTATTGGGTTGATATTTTGAGGCATTTGACCAGTTGGATGTGGACCATCTCTGGCCCAAACATGGCAAACTTCTCGCATAATATTATTTTTTCAAAAGTTTTGAATATAAAACAAGAAATTTAAAACCTTTTAACAAACCGACAAGATATTCTTAGATATCAGTTAAAAAAAATAAGTTTTATTCATCAGTAGTGAACCAATAGTTGCCAAATGTTACCCAGATTATGGCCCACATCCAGTCAGATGTTGCCATATATGGGCCGTAGTAGGGCCAAAGCTGAGTGGCTGTCTGTGTAGCTTCTAAAATTGTGCGCACACGGTTTTCTGGATAAGGTTTGTCCTCTAATTATTCAAATGATTCAATCACACCAAATTTAAAAAAAACAAAACAAAAAAAACAAAAACAAAAAACCCATCAAAATTGTAGCCTCTCGCGATTTCAAGTCACAATTGCAGAGGGGTGCCAGAAAATACGTCATCATCGGTTTTCGGGTTCTTTATTTTGCCGACTAGGCAAAATTATTTTCCCAAAAAATTATTATATAATTTTCATTATATTTCATTTTACCCGTCTGAACTAAAATCTGATATCCCCCCTGATTTCCGGTTCCAGCCTTGTACGCCTATGTCTGGTTGGCGTAGTCGGCAAGTCTAATGATCTATAGCCTAATCAATTGAAAGTAGACCGCAATATACCGGATTTTCCGGCGCTGCATTGTAGGCGTTCGGTTTGACGTATTGGAGCATTAGCGATTTAGCGTTGGGAGAAATCAATTATTGCGATTCAAATAAATACAAGATGTATGACTCGAACATGAAATGAAATGGGGTTAATATGTCCTACTTTGTTGACTCGAACAAAATTAATGTAAACATACACCCTAACATTGAAAGCATGCTCAAAACATATTGTTCCTTTTATTAATTTGTCAGTAGTTAAAATGCAGATAATTTGTAAATATATAATTACAAGCCTTCATTTATTATTTCCCTATACTATCTCTGTTGTTCAATCCCCTATTTTGATGTATTAAGTTTGTATCTATCGGCCTGGATTGAAAGTTACGTACACAATATCCGCTATTAATGTTCAATATTTTTAACATGATGATTTCTTTCAATAAATTACCAAGTAGTGAAATCATCGGTAAATTCGCCAATCCTAGTTTATTACTTGTCAAGAAACGTTTTAAAAATATTGGATATTTTCTTGCTGTTTATGCTACCAAACCTTCGTTCGTTCGTTCCGATGCTTGGTTGGGTTATAATATTGAACTGTTGTACTATAATGTATGCCGTCTAGTCCATGCTGCATTAGTTTTGCGCATGCGCATTAAAGACGTGTGTTAGTTTTTGCTTCGAATGCTACCATCGGTTCTGGGCCAAATATTGTAGGTGTGTTGTTGGTGTACGACAGGATGTCAATAAGGCTATCACTGAAAGGGTAGCCTTTACTGTGACAACATACCAATATCATAACATTCATGTCAAGTGTCAAAATGAAGCGAGTAGGATACTGGATAAGTGAAAAGAAGAGTAAAAAACTGAATTTTGAAGACCATAGGGAACTGTTCAGGTATAGTAAACAAATAAGCTATGCCATAGGCCAAGTTTAGTAATAGCCTAATGAGGACGATTATTATGGTTACGAGTCCGACATCGCATAGGTCGTGTCGGAGTTGCGCTCCTGTAGCCCGAAACATCAGTGTGGACTACTAAATAGTACTATTATATCAATATGTTACCAGTAGCAGATTTGGCAATTATTGTAGGCCAACCAAGGAATTAATAAGAATAAGATTACTTAATATTAGAGGGCTACAGGCTAAATAATAACAAAAACCTGGGCTACTGTTAGGCCTAACTGGAAAGATCTAATTGGCCCCATGTATTGATTGCATTGACCCAACACACAGTGCAGTCAATGTCATGTGGTTTGGGTTTTTTTGACCAATGAGCACTATTTCCCACCAATTTCCCAAACAGTCAACAGCATTTTATCAAGGGTAGCTGCAGTGGATCAGTGAGGAATATGTTGGCTCGCTAACCAAGAGGTCGGTCTCAGTTTTGGCCAAGAAAGTTCTTCTAAATTTTCTAACATGGTACCCCCTTTCCGGGCCTTTGTTGTAGGTGCAGGACGGGAGGGCCTAGCAAGGACAGTTTCTAATGATTTGGATGGGACAGAATTCATGAGGTCCTGGCTGTAGCCTATGTGTACACATTCGAAATAAGAGTAGACCGTAGCGCTGCTGTCCAGGCAAAATTTATATGTAGTATGTAGTGTTTATCTTCATGAAGTAAACTGTAGATAATTGCTTTCCGAGTTGTAGTTGTTGTTCTTGGTCACGGTTAAAAATCTTGTACTCTGGAGGCTAAGTTCTTTATTGGTTCAATGATTTAGGCCTATATACAGTTTTTATACGCCCACATTTTCATGTGGACGTATTATGCGGTCGCCCCTGTCCGTCCGTCCACAATTGTTTGTGGACTCTCTACAGGTCACAATTCTTATCCGATTTCGACGAAACTTGAAATATAGGTTTATCCCCAAAAGATCTCGGCTGCTTTCGATATTGGCATGTATCGGATCGAAACATCATGGATTATGGCCCCTGTTTGTACGAAAAGTCACGTTTTTAGCTTGTGGACCCTATAGAGGTCACAATTTTTATCCGATTTTGTTGAAACTTGAAATATAAGTTTATAACCCAAAGATCTCAGTTCCTTTCGATATTTGCGCATATCGGACAGTAACTTCCTGAATTATGGCCCCTGATTGTACGAAAAATCACGTTTTTAGCTTGTGGACCCTATAGAAGTCATAATTTTTATCCGATTTAAAAAAACATTCTATTATATCACCGTTACACCCTAAGGATGACTGGGTTCGAATTTCGTGAAAATCGGCCCAAAATTGACAGACAAAATGGCCGCAATTCGTTCCCAAATAGCGTAAGAATATGGTATATCAAGGTTGTGGACCCTATAGCGGTCACAATTTTTATCCGATTTTGTTGAAACTTGAAATGTAAGTTTATAACCCAAAGATCTCGGTTCCTTTCGATATTCGTGCATATCGGACCATAACTTCCTGAATTATGACCCCTGATTGTACGAAAAATCACGTTTTTAGCTTGTGGACCCTATAGAAGTCATAATTTTTACCCGATTTAAAAAAACGTATTATTATATCACGGTTGCACCCTAGGGACGACTGAATTCAAATTTCGTGAAAATCGGCCCAAAATTGACAGACAAAATGGCCGCCGTTCGTTCTCAAATAGCGTAAGAAAATGGTATATCAAGGTTGTGGACCCTATGGGCAGATCTAAATTGGGTAAAAATAATGGTAAAAGTGATAATAGAAGGAAGAGGACTATGAGCACAGGTAATACTCAACATAGCACTGATACTGATAACTCTGGATTTCTTGATAATCTCATGAAGGATGACCATTCCCGAAAACGATTCATTTCTGATATTTTAAAGCATCAATTCATTAAGGATCATATCATAAACGAACTTCAGCCAGATATTTCAAAGGCGACAAATGATCGATTAATTAATTGGAAGACCGTATAGACGACCTCGAACAATACTTAAGAAGAACCGGAGGCGACATACAATGTACGGTGAAAGTGAGGATAAGGATCACATTATTCTGAGCATTATCAATAATGAGATTTTGTATCAACACAATATTTGGCAAAATTGTACTTTTAACCCTTATTAAACAAACTTTTATTTCAAATGTACTTGTAGTTGTACTTTTAACCTTTATTAAACAAACTTTTTTTTCAATTGTACTTATTTAGATTTAAAATCTTTAATTCCATTTATCGAAAAGCGAACATATAGATATCAAAAGATAGTTTATAACTTGATGCAATTATCCAAAAGTACCTTTTTTACGTTGTTTTGCCCAACACATCTATGTACAGTGATTTTGAAAAAAACTATATTTTCAACCCTTAAAGCAAACAGTGTTATTCGATACGCATTAATAATACTGCAATCTGATTAAAATACAGATCTATATTTCGTTTCGTTTTTTTATACTTTCGATGACCTACACTACATGAAGATCTGACAAGTTATAGCGATAGGTCACGTCAGGGGTCAAAAGACCGACTTATGACCCTATGATGTCAGACATTTGATTAACCAATCAGCATTTATGTTACTAGTGGATTACCTACAGTTCCGTGCAAAACACGCCTAAAGCTCGCCATAACAGACCGTTTCATTGGCTTATCCCTGACACCGTTCAGAACACGAGTTAAATAACTCTTCCAGATCCAAGTGTAGTAAAGACAAGTAAAACGAAATTTTGAACTATAAAAACGAAACGAAATAGGATCTGTGTTTTAACCAAATTGATAATACTGTTTACAAATTGCACAACGATTGCTGTTGAAGACAAATACCACTTTCTCCTCTGTTGCCCAGCATATATAAATTTACTTCACAAGTTCTTTCATCGTAGATTTTGGTTCTTTCCTTCTTTACATAAATTCAAAAATATTTTAGAGACCACGTAAGATCAAAAATCTAAATTACATGTATGTATAGCCCATGATTACTATATCAACTTTACGGCAACTTCTCACCAATCTGATTAAAATTAAGTCCGCTGTTAACGTTTAAGTGTCCGACACGCCAAAACGCTTTTCAATTTTTCAATTACGACCTTAATCCGGTTGATTGGCTGGTGACGTCACAGGCACTACACAGAGGATATACATTATCTATACAATATCTCACTGTCTGTACAATATAGCACTATCAATACACACGGCAAGTTGACAAGCGTCTGTTGACGGTCCAATTACCACGTGACTGGCCTAATCATAATCACCGAATTATCGTCTTTCATTTGTGATTGGAATATTATAGAGTGAATTTCAAATGCCGCATCATGCCGTAGATCCATTTAAGCTGCCTTTGTTTAAATAGGCCACGCGTCAAATGAAGACGACTCAAGAAATTAGCGCATTTACCGGTAATTTGGATAACCCCGTAATACTTGATATATTAAGTACAGAAATACAAATGGCGCCAGTCATTTGTCGATATATTCATTATTAGCTATATATAATAATAATGACCATTTCTATACATAAAGAACAACTTTTATCGTAACTCCATTTGAAATTTACAGTGAATATGGAATTTTCCGATGACTATGCATAACATGAACAATAGATCGCTCTCATTTCTCAGCCAATCAACGCTGGGAATCTTATTACCATTTACGGTTACATGTACTACGGGTGTAGTAAATGAGGTTAAACTTCGGCACGAAAATTGCACGGGATCATACGTGGAGTTCCTGGTGCCGTTTGGTGAGTGATTAAACTGTCAATCCAATTGTAAAATACTTTTATTAAAAAGAAGATAAACGATTGTTGTTTAAACGCCAATCAACAAATAATACGAGGCTACTTGATTACAAAAACACTGGTGAGCAATAATTATTGGGTAAATAATAATTATAAACAACTGATGAGTAAAACTTAATGGTTTTATACAATTAATGTGTGGGTGTACGATTCTACCATTAGTTCGTTCATGAGGTATTATGCACACGTTTCACTTAGAGTGATGTCTTTGATCTGGCCGGCGTAAAAAAAGATAATTACCTAATCAACATTCTTAATCCCACTAACACTCACTGCTAACACCAACGTGTAAATTAGTTTATGACCCATGCCTGTATAACTTTTATAGTCGGATTGATTAATTAATGACAAATATTAACGACACTACACTTTATGTGGAAAAGCGAAGTGCTCGCAGTAAAAAACACATAGCTGGACCGGTATATTATTTACATATTAAAAGTGTTCGTCCAATAAGCTCCATATTGTAAAAAATTAATTAAGAGTTCAAGACTTCAAAGTTTAAAAGTTGTAGGCAATCTAAATTGGATCTTAAATTAAAATGAATTACAAAACGAATTATTTCGTAGTCAATTGTTTTATTTAATAAAGAACTAAGGGAGATTAAGGAATCAGTCAGGCGTTAATGAGTACACACGCCGGCTGTATATAGGTAATTAGGGATTAACATTCCGAATATGCATTTGGTCACTGTGACGTCACTGGCGTCTGAGTGGATTAAGAGTGTTTTCGATAATTGGCAAAGTCGTTTTCACGGGAGGTCCATTTTTACGACTTTGAGTGAAGATAACTGAATTAATTTCAATCAGATTGGTGTGAACTTGCCGTAAAGTTGATATAGTAACCATTGGCTACACATATCCAAAAGTTCCCAAACCCATCTTATGTGCACTTTAACGAACACCAAACGTAAATGCATTTAGTGCAAAATGACGCCTTGTTATTTTAAGAATTACGTATTATGAACATTGAACATTAACTCAAAAGAACTTTAGCTGTGCTGTAAGCTCACAACTTTTATGTAAATTCATGATGGCATGAGTTGGTTTTATATCACATTGATTACTATATTTAGATACTCACTTATTGCTTATTTGTTGTCTTTTTCCCCAGCTAATTGCTCAAAACAGGTTTGCTACTGATTTGTATAATTGGCCTTGTTTAATAGGTTTATTTCCCCCACAAAAAGGGACAGTGCAAAGACTGTACTGTTATAATATTATCAAGTACATTTGTAGATCTGAGTATAAAAACAATCCATATAGAATGGACTGGCTTATACGAAAAAGATACATGTAGCACAATTAATATTACTATTTAAACTAAAGATGGTGGTGTGAAATCCATAGAAAACAATGTAAGCTTAAATAACTAATTGATTGAATAATTTTGGACCAAAATTATTTTTTAATAAAAGCAAGGTTACTTTTGATTGTGTATTGTCTTAAACTATATTTAATTTAGTACTGATCTTTCTTTTGCAGGAATGCAGGATTTGAACTTGTTAAGGTATGTATGTTGACTAATCCTATTTTCTGAGAACACCAACCGGATTATTGTTACAACATTATTTGTCATTCATCAAAAATGCTGGAAATAATAAAATAACTTTATGACTAACCTATGAAATGACTTTATGAGGCTAAAATATTTCCACAAAAATTTTGAAAAAAAAAGATAATAGATTGTAAATGCATTTATTTGACATTTAGTGACTCACTTTGATGAATGGTGTAAGATATCCGTATTATTTGCATGGAGACCCTATATGTCTTGACATGGTAGGACACAATTTTTGTAAATACTCTACAGGTCACGCTGCATGGACCAGATTTTTTGAAGATCTATTTTAAATTATTCAACTCGCCATATGATTGATTAATCTAGAAATATTAAGTTATTGCCTTATTGTGGGCTACATGTACATGTTACTCCAGGGAAGCTTTCTTCAAAATTTCTTTTTCACATATATCATGTGACAAGGTCACACAGACATTTTTTTTTACCTTGTTCTGAACTCAAAACAGGATGAAAACTTGAACTGCAATATTACTGGAAGATGGATGGACTATTTTTTATTAGGTGACAATGCAGCATAAACAACCCAACAAAAACACACAACACAGACAATCCAAAATGTCAAAGTTCATGGCAGAGCACTTTATAACAACATAAAGATTAAATAAACAAGTTCAGCCCAATCTTGATAGTCCCATAGTTTTCAGCGAACTATGTCATGAACTGCTGATTGTGGTCACAAACCAAGTGTCTGCATGTAGAAGAGAACATAAGCAGTGATTAGACCTCATATAATGCTAGTACCCCAGCATATAATGTATGGCGGGATTTAAGGGCCAAAACTAAATGTAAGTTGAAAGTGTTATTATAGATCATAGAAAATACCTAATACCTAAGATGCAAAATACATATGTCGTTATACTTATAATGATGAATACATAATACCGTTAAAGTAAAAGTCAAATGTCTAATTACAAATGTTTTTTGGAAAAAATCCACTAATGTTGCAAAGAACACAACATTTTCACATATACACTTCAACAAAGCAACTTTGCAAAATGACATTTGTCTTTTGTCTTTTAGCGCATCTTGAGTTCTGAGGGTCAAAGGACATCGGGTAACATATAAAATTGTTAAAATGAATGCTCCTAAGAAGGAAAGAACGGATATAGGCTGTACCCTCTTTTAGTATCTGGAGACTTGTCAGTCATGATGTTGATATTAGATAGGCTAACTATATAGTTCAAATATGTATAATCTAAACAAGGTGCCATCCATTATTAAGATTACTGTTAATCATTCTTACAAACGAAGTTTGTGGGACATTATATACCCCTATATATTTCAATTCGGTTTTAACTGTAGACTAGCTAATGTTAATACACCTAGCCTATATAGTCATATTAATTATAAACTTCACACAAAATAAGCCTTCATCTAGATTGAACATGTTTAGAAGAAATTTAATTTAATGTAAATATACTTTTTGATAAATGCCGAATTGTGTCATGTGTGACTTGGGCTAACACAAGTTTAAATTAAATGTAGGCTATATAAAATTATTTTAACATTAAAGATGGATCTTTCCATCAGGGTCAGGCGTGCTGACTGTCAGAATGTATAGGCATTTATTATTCATTAGGAGCAGAAAATTAGGATGTTAAATCCCATTTCATTTCACCTATTTTTTTTGCTGTCATATTTTTGTTTAAATACCATTGTCGTTGGCCGGTGTAAAGTCAGTAAATTACAGATTCCTGGGGGAGTTATGGTATTGGTGTTTCATATTTCGGATAACTTTCGTAAACTGCACTTGAGTAAATAAATAAATGAAATTAAATATTAAATCAGAATCAGATCTTTTCTCATTATTCACTATAGTAGGCATAGGTAAGTATATGGGATGGGATATGAAACGTTTTCCATCTCTTGTTATTTTAAATTTTTGATTGCTTGCAGGCAGTAAAAACTTTAAAACATTGTTGAATGAACCATTTTAAAATCAATCATTGTAATTACTTTCTAAATTAAAGAACATTTCATTAAATGGACTAATCGTTTTGTTTTTATGAAATAAGCTCCTTACATGCTTAATAACTATTTACAACAAAGAACAGATACAAAATCAAAGTACAATTTAAATTTTATTTCAAAAGGTTATCGTACATAATAATCATTTAATATATTTAATCTTTCCAAATATACAGTTTGCGTACATTTAAATTGACGCAAGATTCCATTAATTGATAATAACAAGTAAAGCGGTAAAGTCAAAATCCATACAACATAGTGTCCAGAAGGTCACTAAGCAGACAACGACAAGCTTGTTAAATAAGCAGCCAACGGCAAGCTTATCTTTCCTTCATGGGAGCATTCATTTTAACAATTTTACTTGTGACCCAATGACCTTTGACCATTGACCTCAAGAACCCAAGATACGTTAGAAGACAAAAGACAAATGTCATTTTGCAAAGTTGCTTTGTTGAAGTGTATATGTAAAAATGTTGTGTTCTTTGCAACATTAGTGGATTTTTTTCCAAAAAACATTTTTAATTTGACATTTGACTTTTACTTTAACGGTATTATGTATTCATCATTATAAGTATAACGACATATGTATTTTGCATCTTAGGTATTAGGTATTTTCTATGATGTATAATAACACTTTCAACTTACATTTAGTTTTGGCCCTTAAATCCCGCCATAATAATGCCAATTGAACCAGAATGTCAGTAACAAGTATAAGTATCAGGTGTTTTGGAAATAATGTTGAAACTAGTATTCGATATATCCCTTAACACATACAAAATAACGGTTATCCGAATCATTTTACTAAGAAAATCCAGTATCAACCTTTATACCTGTTACAAAATTTTCAATTCATTATAATTTGACAATACGAAATGGAACCATTTCTGGACTGATATTCCTAGTTTTAGAGATGTTATGTAAACTTTCACAATATTATAATTTGCAAGTGATTACAATCCCTTAATGACATTCAGGAACTTTTTTGACACGGTGGGGCGGGGGAGGGGTCGGATGGTATCATAAGGCCTGTCATTGAGTCAACTGGCGTGTTTTTTCGAATCCCCAGTTGTACGTGACAAGGAGTAGGGTCGCCTGTCTGTCCAACCTCGTGGGTTTCCTCCCACTGCTAAAGACTCCTACGCGCAAGCGAATTATTGAAATAAAATTTAACCATATGTTAGTCCCGAAATGACCTAGTTTGTGTCGAGTGGACATTAAATCACATTTCTCTCTCTCTCTTTTTGACACGGTATAACAAATACCAAAATAGCCTTGAAATACAATTGAAATACCAATATTCAAATATTTATGTGAGCCCTTCAAGAAGTAATCCAGTATATTTGAATAGTATTTAAGCTGATCACTAAGGCTGCCAAAATATTTGTAATCAAGCTGACCTCATAAGTAGAGCACATTATTCTGTAAGTATCAGCTTAACATAGTACAGTCCTTCACTTAAATTTGAATAGTAGTATACGGTTTGTTTAGTTATATAGTAGTCAATAATAAGTATTGTTGTTATTCATTTCCATAGCGAAAAAAACAACATACATGACATCAAATATTTAAGGCAGTTGAGTTTCGGTGGAAGCGGATGTAAAGTACAACTAACACACACACACACACAAGAGACTATAGTTAAAGATGCATTAGGCAAGAACTGTCTATTGTACATGTAGGCATGGTCTATATGTTAAAAAGAAATTTTGAAAAAAGCTTCTCAGGAGTAACTAAACATATATGTAGCCCACAAGCTGACCTGTAGAGTATTTACAAGAATTGTAGGTCTTTTTCTGGCTCCAAATGTTATACACATTATTATTTAGATATTCACATGAGAATCCCACAATCAACTCTCTAGTCCTTTATATGGCAGATATATTAAATGGATTAGAACATCCACACCATTTAATAATTTAAGGTTCAAATGGATACCGTAATCAAGACTGTGTTTATTATTGTAGCAATGGTACTTGTAAAACAAGCCCATTCATGTACATGTATGTATCTTTGCTACATGTTGTCAAAACTTCAAACACTTATAACCGCACTCAGAATAAATTAATTTAACAGAAATTTTCAATATATTATTCATTTTTCATTAGCTATTTATAAACTAAGATAGGAACAGGGTTCCCGCAGTCCTTGAAAATCCTTGAATATCCTTAAATTTAAAATTTCATTTTCAAGGTCTTGAATATCCTTGAATTTCGCGGAAATAGGAAAATATCCTTGAATTTCAGTTGAGATCCTTAATTCTGTTTCAAATTGGTAATAATAGTAAGTTGATATTAAAATCCCGTTTAGATTAGAAGTTTTATAACGATAGTAGTAATGTTTTGGTTATTTTTAAGATGACAAATTGTAACTTTAGGCTAAAAAATGTCCTTGAAAATCCTTGAATTTGACGTATATTTATCCTTGAATATCCTTGAAAAAATGTTTGACGAAGACGCGGGAACACTGTAGGAAGAACGGCCAGCTCTTTACCTAAATCTTACATGATACATCATTAAAGTGGCAACATATAAAATGCCAATAACATTCTTATTTACATATTAATGATTATGGACAAGAAGTCCCATCCTGAAATATTTTATGTAAATTGTATACACGTACGTATTGGTTGGAAGCTGAATTAAATTAACTCTCCAAATGTATATCACTGATCTTTGTATGACTTTGTCTGCAAAAATTTAGAAACATCGATTTTTTGTAGTGTGCCTAACTGGGGCAGATAAGCCATACAAAGAAAAGTTTGGATATACATCCTTGGAAATTTAAAGGATTCAGCTTTTAAACATTGTTAATATTAGGTATGCCCAAATTGTCCGGTTGAAAACTTGGTGAATTCTCAAACACCTCCCTAACCTGACCAAAAACATTAACGACCAAAAGCTGGGGAAAGAGACATTTTGGACATGAATACTGTACTGAATACAGTACTGGCTGAATACAGT